TGGCCAAAACCGATTAAAATTTCATTCGGATCGTAAGGGGTGGTTTAAACCTTTTCTAATCCAATGGAGAGGACATGTAAACACTTCATCGGATTGAAAATGAAACCAGATAGTTCTGCGCATGTGCAATGACGTACAAATCACGTAATGACGTATGACGCACGGCTGTCAGCGGTATTGGGGCTCTGACCGTAGCCTCCCCAGGTGCCATGTGCCCCTCCACCATTGAGCATAGTGTCATAAATGACAGTCGTGTCATCCTAAAATTCTCCTTCCACTCCTCGTCTGTGAAGTGGTGCAAGACGACGTTGTCCCACCAGTCCTTGCTTCGGACCCTCATCCACAGACGCCTTGTTCTGGGCTCGGGAAGGGGCATTTTAATTGCTTGATAATTACACGCAGTACCGCACAAAACATCACGCGCGCGTCGTCTTCTAATTAGCAGCTGAAATAGGCAAATGTTAAGTCTGCTTTTTAAAACGAAGAAAAGAAGCAATGGCAAGAGAGTGGCTGCTAGTATCTGCATGTTGGAACGGCGGGAAACGTGTATTCGTGCACTGTGCGCATGTCAGAAGATCAAATGCGATTCTGTCAAGTAAACGCGCATATCAGCCCGATTACTTTATTCAGTGTTCTTGTAAACACTGCGATCGGATTAATCAATCTGATTGATTTCATTCCGATTGAAACAAAAAGTGTCCATGTAAACGTGACTACTGTTAGTGTCCTCATCGTATTGTAACCAGTGCCTCTCCGGGGTGAGTGTTACAGAGTTGTGGCCTGTACAGGGACCTAGCAGTGGGTTGTTATTAAGGAAAAAATGTAGTTCACTAATGAGCACAATGTGGATAACACAGGTAAAGGTTCTATTGTAGACCAGGCACTAGATTTTAGAGCAGGCTCGTTTGTGGATAGGCACAATCCCGCTGCTGAAACAATCTCTATGCTGAGTTCTCTATATATCTCTGATGATAATAATGATGATGTTGATGCTGATGTACCAAATACTGATGTATGTAATACAGATAATGCAAACTGAGGCTGAGCAAGTAAGATCACAGACAATCTATTACCAGCACTCTTGAAAGCTGCTTTAAGGGAAGCAGTGGAGGCTAGCATGGATATGTTGCAAGATTCTTTCCAACAATCTTTGGAAAAACTCTAGAGGGCAGTTGTAGATTGCTTTCTTAGGAGGGACACTAAGTGGGAGAGTGGAAGATTAGGCAAACCAGCACATATGCCTGCGCTGAGCTGGTGGAAGGCAGAAAGAGCTAAAGTCCATGATTGCAAGACATTCAAAGATGCCTTCATGACAGCTTTCCTTCCTGAGGACTACTTAGCAGAGTTGGTGGACAAGCAATGGTACAACAGCCGGGGCAAAAACTTAGAGATTTTGCCTATGATTACCTCGCACTCTGTTTGAAATGGAAAGCAGACATCATGGAGGAGGAGTTGGTAAGCTGCATCCTGAATAACATCAAACAATCCCAGGGTTGCAGGCTGCCGAAGAGGGACAGTAACCACCATTGAACAGCTGGTCAAGGTGGGCTCCAGGGTAGAAGAAGACTGCATGGGTGCGAAGGACTATTGGCAAAAGGTGGGAATGTTGATACCAAGGAAAAAGGTTTCAAGAAACCACCTGGAAGCCAAGGTTCTAAATAGCTTGATGGGATGTCAATTACACAGCCTCATGACTTCAGGCTCGTCACACCCTCCATAGTCCAGGTACCACTAAAGGTTGCTGGGGAAGAAATAAGAGCGATTATTGACACAGGCAGCATGTATACCCTGATGCAGCAGAAGATATGGAGAAAACTGAAAGAGGATATAGTCCACACTGACCCACACCACCAGCAAAAATTCATCATGGCAGATGGGAAAATGCATGTCTCCAGACCCAAGAATCCGATCCCATATGAGTGGCACAGTATCACCTGGACATTAGACACATACATCATGGATGACACCCACTTGACCTGTCCCATTAACCTGGGGTTAGACTTTATCATAAAGACTGTTGCAGTTCTTGATGTGGCTAGCAACCGGTACGGGCTGCCTTCAGGACAAGGATATGATTGCCATCCATTCATGGCCTTTCGTCACCACCAATATACTGAGCCAGACCGCCATGGTGAAACACCATATTTCCACCCTGCACGAGGTACCAGTGAAAAGTCGGGCATACAGTGTTGAGAGGGCTGAGAGGAAGAATCTGCTTTGTGTACATCGATGATATCATCATATACTCCCAGACCTGTGAACAGCACACTAAAGACATCAGTGCTGTATTACAGAAACTCACCCAAGCTAATCTCACCCTCAACATGAAAAAATGCCACTTCTTTAAACAACAGCTGAAGATTTTAGGGCATATTGTCTTGGGACGAGGGGTGGAAGCTAACGCTGAAAAAACCCAAGTGGTAGCAGACTACCCCGTATCAACTGATATGAAGGCTCTTTAGTGCTTCTTGGGTTTAACAGGCTGGTACCATAAGTTTATTCCAGGTTTTGGTGGAGTGTTTGGGAATGGTGTGGGAAGTAGAAAAGTGGAGGCACTTCCTAGAAGGAGTGGAGTTCGAGGTTTTTACTGACCATGCTGCGCTCGCCTGGGTGTTCAACTACCCAAAGACCTCCTCTTGACTGACAAGATGGACCCTCTGGCTACAACACTTTAACTTCCAAGTGTGCTACAGGAAGGGCCGTCTAAACACTGAACCGGATGCCTTGTCGAGGGCCTTTGAACCTCTTTCTGTGGGCTTTGCATCTTGCCTGAATGTCATCCATCACCACCACCAAACTGACCTACCCCATTCCTTATCTGAAATCGCTCAAGCTCAGAACACGGACAACAACTAAAGGCGAAGCAACAGGACCAACGTACACCCACCCATTGTATCGGTTTTAATGGCCACCATAAAGTCAGACTTTCTGCTGCTTAATATTGGCTTCCTTTGCGTTGGTGGGCTCATACATGGTAGAAAAAAAACCTTAATTTAGACTAAATCAGTCAACAACCCTGTTTGTGGATGTCTCCTTTCCAAGAGAATGCAGTTGATGGAATTATTGCAGCAATAATAAATCATTCTTGCTAGTTGTAATAGCAGAAAGGTCTAGGGGTATGATTCTCGCTTTGGGTGTGAAAGGTCCTGGATTCAAATCCCAGGTAAGCCCTTTCTTTCCTGTTAACTCATCCTTCTGTAATCAAGGGAGATTTTGCTTGCCCCCTTAACCAAGCTTCACGACATATTCAGTTGAATACCAAGAGCTAGCTACTTGGTTCTCACTTGGCTGCGTTCAAATCCCGGACAAGCCCAGGTTTTACGTTGTGTAGTCTACCTCTGGGTGGAAAAAACTAACGGAACCCTGGTCCACTGCCTACTTGGTTCTTGCTTGGCTGCTTGATTCTCGAGAGGTCCGAAAAGGTTTAAATCCCAGATGAGAGCTTGCTTTCCTCTCAGCTTCTTTTTCTGTAATGGTGGGCTGCTTTGCTTGGACACCAGTCAGCACGACCAAGCTTCCCGTCATCGTTAGTTGAATGCCATCTTGTGATGTCAACACTCCCGCTCTGATTAAGGAGCGTGTTGATGCTAGTCTGTTTATCACAAAAGCCCCTTTTCAAGGAATCCACACTTTCAGGTTTATTCTAACGTTGCTTTAGTGCCTTGGAGTACCAACTTTGGTGATGAGAACCAGCATACTCTCTATGTCACCAGCCAAGCTTCATGACACAGTTAGTCGATAAGCAGATAATCGTGGCTTCTCTGTGTATCAATCCTATTTTTTGTGGCATGGCTTCAATGTCTATCAGTGTTGAAGAAGGCATGGCTTTTTTTATCTTTCAGTTTCTATTAAAAGAGCATTTTTTATATCCAGCAGCCTTCTTGGAGGTGGCATGATTTTAAGTCTGTCAGTCTCTATTGGAGGATGTATGTCTTCTGTGTGTATAATTCTTCTTTTTGCATTACTTCTTTGTATATCAGTCCTGTTGGAGGAGGTTTGGTTTCTGTGTTTATCAGTCTCTATTGTTCAGTGTCTGGATTGTGTGCATGTCAGTCTTGTTTGTGCAGGCAGCGCTTCAATATCTATTAATTTATTGAAGTAAGCCTTGCGTCTCTCACTTTCTGTTGAAGTAGGCATAGCTATTGTGTGCATCAGTCTTCATTGGAGGTGACCTGACTTCTGTATTTATCAGTCTCTATGACTGAAGGCATGGCTTCTGTGCGCCTAAGACCTGTTTGCTGAGGCACGGCTTCTGTGTATCAGTCCTATTATAGGACAGTCCTTTTGGAGAAGGTGTGGCTTCTATGTCCATCAGCCTCTTTTGGAGGAGGCAAGATTTGTATTTGTCTCAGTCTGATTTGTGGTGGCATATCTTCTGTGTCAGCCAGTCCTATTGGAGGAAGTATGACTTCTTTGTTTATCACTCCTTTTGGAGGCCTAGCTTCTGTGTCTATCAGTCCTATTGGAGAAGGAGTGGCTTCTGTTTCTATCAGCCTTTGTCACTTTCTCTTAAAATAGGCATGACTTCTGTGTCCAGCAGTCTTAATTGAGGAAGCATTCCTTCTGTTTCTATCAATCTCTATTGGAGAAGGTTTGGCTTCTGTGTATATCAGTCCTGTTTGTGGAGGTAGGGCTTCAATTACTATCAGTCTTATTGAAGGAGGCATGACTTCTTTGTCTCTCACATTTAATTGACGGAGGCATGGTTTCTGTTTCTTTCAGTCTTAATGGAGGAGACATTGCTTCTGTGTCTATCAGTTCTGTCTGTAGAAGCATGGCTTCTCTGTATTTCAGTCCTTTTGGAGGAGATGTGAATTCTTTGTCTATCAGTTTCTATTTTAGAAGGCATGGCTTCTATGTTTTTCAGTCCTATTTATGGTGGTTGGGCTTCACTGTCTGTCAATCTTATTGGGGGAGGCTTGACTGATTTGTCTATCAAATTCAATTGAAGGAGATATGTTTTCTGCGTCTATCAGTCGTATTCGAGGAGGCATGTCTTCAGTCTTACAGTTGAGGTCAAAAGTTTACATACCCCTTTCAGAATCTGCAAAATGTTTATTATTTTACCAAAATAAGAGGAATCATACAAAATGCATGTAATTGTTTATTTAGTGCTGACCTGAATAAGATATTTCACATAAAAGATGTTTACATATAGTCCACAAGAGAAAATAATAGTTGAATTTATAAAAATGACCCCGTTCAAAAGTTTACATACCCTTGATTCTTAATACTGTGTTGTTACCTGAATGATCCACAGCTGTGTTTTTTTGTTTACTGATAGTTGTTCAAGAGTCC